GAGAAGATTTACTGGGGGCAGCAAGCAGGCTGGCTGTCTAGCGGACCAAGACAGCAGTGAACAAAGCATGGACAGAAGACTTCACAGGATCTTTTAGGGAGGGTTGCGGGAAATGTGCCATTAGTTATTTTTGTATCAAAACCTGGAGGAAAAAGAGATTGTGGTCAGAAGTTGGGAGCAGAGAGGAATGGAGGACCAGCCAGCCAAGGCAGATGTGAGAAAGGCGGGGGGACAGGGAGCAAAGAGAGAGCAAGATATCTCTCTAGCCCCTGTAAGTTGAGAGGTCAGAAAGCAGAGTAGCACTTGTCACAGGAGGGGCTGCTGTGGAGCATATGGTGGCAGTTCTGGAGGTGGCCTGTGGCAGTGGCTACAACAGGAGTGGTGGTTCTGGAGGCTGTGGCTCTGTGGGATGGGGTAGAGGGGCAGGCAGAGCTCAGGATGATTGCAGAGAGAAAAGAAAGTAAGGACATAAGGGCCCTTGGACTATTTGCCATTGCAGCAATAAAAGTCATCTAAATTAATGAATGAATCATAATCAAGAGTTCCTGGGGGGCTGGGGACAGATAGTCTCATTGTCCAACCTGTATTGTGGCCAGGCTGTTTGGCAGAGAAAAACTAGGCATTTGACTTTGAGGTCGGAGAAGCCCAAGGGACCTCTAAGGACAGACTTAAGACACTCTAGGACAGAAGAATAGTTTTGAGAGGGTATTGAAGAATAATTGTCCATAATGATGAGAAGACAGAGTGGGGGTGGTGAGGAGGCTGAAGATGACAATCTAGTTGTGGGAGTCCCAAAAAGGGACATGCAGCCAAAGTCCTTGCAGGTGTCTGTGATCAGACAGGGGCCTGAATAAAGAGAAGGAGCGGCCTGTCGTGTCAACATGACTTCGTAGAATCAGACCAGGGCTGGCCAAGAGGTGTAGAGCTGGGAGACAAGCCATCCAGCGTAGCGATAGGGAGAAGTTAAGGTGAAATAGAACATGAAAGAGCAGAATAGGCCATTGGTGTTGGAGAAAGCCTGGAAGGAACCCTGACAGAATTCAAAGGCTATTTGTCCCAGGTATGAGTTGAAGGAATCACAGGGAAGATGGCTGGAGGCAGAGGCAAGCAAGTTGTCCAGGAACAACATTCATCTTCAAGATGAAGAGAAGGAAAGAGAAAATGAAAGTACAGAAAGTTGGGAAGGGAGCCTTGGAGACATTTGTTCATAAACTGAAAGAAGGAGTTGACTGTAGGCCACAAGTCTGGAGGGAGAAATTGCCCTCTGTTTTTTCCCCTCAACAAGTTGGACAAAGGGAGAGGTTTGAAATTTAAGATAGGTTGAATGAGTGACAAGGGAGTATTCACAGTATTGGGTGTCATGGGTGGTTAGGTCATCAAGGGAGGTCCGAGGCTCACAGTCTGCTCAGAAGGGTTGGC